AGTATGCACCCTTTAAATGTGTAGTAAATTCGTTTAGATAATGTTAAATTGTATGTATTGACATTTGGTACACTGGATTTCGAACAAGTGGTATTCAGCAAACTGGGTTTAATAACATTTGAGTCAGCAATTTAACATTCAGCATTAGGTTTTGGCAATGGAATGGGCAATCCGGCCAGATCCTCGATAGCATACAATAAATTTAAATTAATAATTTATTAGACTTATATAGGGCATAACGCCAACAAGGCCTCTAAGTGCTTCACATTACTGTATTACCCCCGGTAATTAACAGATTGGACAAAAAGATTCAATTTCAAAACTTGCATAGTGTTTGATGAAATTACCTATCAACATATTATAGATACTGTGTGCCAGTTAAGTGCAATTTGGAGGCTTTACTTAAGTTTACCATAATCAGGGACGTATCCAGGGGGGGAGCCGTGGGAGCCGCGGCTTCCCCCCCCTTTGTACACTGTTAAAATTTTAAAGCTTATTCTTGAGCCAATACAAATTCTTTCCTGGGATCACTCAAAATGAATACTTCTAAACATGTAAATATGCATCAGTACACGTTATACATAGGCATAATAGAACACATAAGCCCTGTCTCTTATACACATCTAGATGTGTATAAGAGACAGATATAGCTAGCTAAAATAAACAACAGTAACCAAAATACAGAGTTTTTTCCCCCCCAAAATGGATAATTAAGCATAAAAGCGGCCATTTTGGGTCGTTAGATGAAAGAATTTTGCTTGGATCAACCAGATTCGTAATCAGCAAAATCAAAATAACCTAAATCCCAATTTAATTGTTATAGAGGACGATTTTTGAGAAATGGAACCGGTCTAAACTTATCGTTTGGGATAGGGTCAGTTCAACCTGTCTCTTATACACATCTAGATGTGTATAAGAGACAGGTTTAATATATAGTATGATTAAAGTCTAATTAGGTGATTTTAGTATGCACCCTTTAAATGTGTAGTAAATTCGTTTAGATAATGTTAAATTGTATGTATTGACATTTGGTATACTGCATTTCGAACAAGTGGTATTCAGCAAACTGGGTTTAATAACGTTTGAGTCAGCAATTTAACATTCAGCATTAGGTTTTGGCAATGGAGTTGGAAATCCGGCCAGATCCTCGATAGCATACAATAAATTTAAATTAATAATTTATTAGACTTATATAGGGCATAACACCAACAAGGCCTCTAAGTGCTTCACATTACTGTATTACCCCCGGTAATTAACAGATTGGACAAAAAGATTCAATTTCAAAACTTGCATAGTGTTTGATGAAATTACCTATCAACATATTATAGATACTGTGTGCCAGTTAAGTGCAATTTGGAGGCTTTACTTAAGTTTATCATAATGAAAAGAAAACATCTTATAATTGTCCAAAACATGATCAATAAATTAGTTTGAAGCATAATATCTTTCAAACAATGTAATATCACAGTAACAAATAGTTACCGGTATATCACTAATTCTAGGGACTAAGGTGAGACTTTTTTTATACTTTGTTTAGCGAACCCGCCGAACGAAAATATTGATGATTTCGATTAAAAATACAATTTTATTTTTGGCCAAAAGCACACCCGCCACCACATAAAATGGAAATTTCCGAAAAAAATAAGTTTTTGAAAAATTTTTATTATGCCCTCTGCTGCCTTGAAATCTCCAAAGATAAAATATGTATATTTCTTCCTAATGACATAAATTTGAAGCATTTAACCATTTTACGTTGCTTAACCAGTGAATAGCCATCATAGAGTGCAAAAAATGTTTGTACATGCTTGATCGTTAATAAAAAGATTAAAATTAATTTTGGTGCTAGCATTTATTTAATTGATAAACATATATATCTATGCTTTAGTGGGAAGTATAATAGCTGTTTAATATTATGATTAAAGTCTAATTAGGTGATTTTAGTACGCACCTTTTAAATGTGTAGTAAATTTGTTTAGATAATATTAAATTGTATGAATTGACATTTGGTACACTGGATTTCGAACAGGTGGTACTCAGCAAACTGGGTTTAATGACGTTTGAGTCAGCAATTTAACATTCAGCATTGGGTTTTGGCAATGGAGTTGGCAATCTGGCCAGATCCTCGATAGCATACAATAAATTTAAATTTAATAATTTATTAGACTTATATAGGGCATAACGCCAACAAGGCCTCTAAGTGCTTCACATTACTGTATTACCCCCGGTAATTAACAGATTGGACAAAAAGATTCAATTTCAAAACTTGCATAGTGTTTGATGAAATTATCTATCAACATATTATAGATACCGTGTGCCAGTTAAGTGCAATTTGGTGGCTTTACTTAAGTTTACCATAATGAAAATAAAACATCTTATAATTGTCCAAAACATGATCAATAAATTAGTTTGAAGCATAATATCTTTCAAACAATGTAATATCACAGTAACCAATAGTTACCGGTATATCACTAATTCTAGGGGCTAAGGGGAGACTTTTTTAATACTTTGTTTAGCTAACCCGCCGAACGAAAATATTGATGATTTCGAATAAAAATACAATTTTATTTTTGGCCAAATGCGCACCCGCCACCACAAAAAATGGAAATTTCTGAAAAAAATAAGTTTTTAAAAAATTTTTATTACGCCCTCTGCTGCCTTGAAATCTCCAAAGATAAAATATGTAATTTCTTCCTAATTACATAAATTTGAAGCATTTAACCATTTTATGTTCACCAATAAACATTTTTATTCTTCAGTTTGGATGTGTTTGGCAAAACTATTTGCTAAATAAGAAAAAACAATTTTATTTTAATTTTTATTCCAACCTCCTCTGATGATCTTTAAAAAAAAAATAAGTATGCGAAACAAGGAATAAAAAAGGTCTTGCCTAAGTAATATTAATGTTAGAATCAGATTTCTATACATTTTCTTATAAAAAAAATTGTATTAGCTACTTTCATACCAAAATCAGTAAGTGTAGTTGTCATGGACTGCAGCTCAGATACATCAAAATCCTATAAGAATAATGTCAATGGTCAAACATGGCGTTCGGTAATTTTGAAAATTTGGCATTTGAGAAAATAGGAAAATGCATAGCCTATTCTGAATAATGTAAGAAATCACCACTGGAGGTGTATCTTCAAACCAATCAGCTTAGATCCATCCATAAGGGGAAACCTTAACAATGAAGATGGTTAAAAACAGTTAAGGCGAAAGTAGTGTCGCTAAGGGGAAACTTCAACAACGTTAAGGCAAAATCATAGACAAAAGAGCGTGTGTGTGTGTGTCCATGTATGTTGGGATGTATTAATATCCCTTTAGCTCATTTGCAACTATTAAAATATTTCATGGCCTTAAAATTAATGAAATTATAAAAATTGTGTTTTTTGCCATAAAAACTTGGATATTGATAGTAAATATTTTCCTGGTATTTTTTGGATAAATATTCCTACTGTATTACGGCTAATAGAAATATATGTATTCTGAGTAATATGAGACCAACTTCAACTCCTCCTACACATATATACTAACAGACTTTTACCAAAACTGTCAGAAACGGTTTGGTTTCCCAACCTCGAGGACGGGGTTTCAAACCCTCGCTGTGCATTTCGCTTGTGTCCTTGAGCAAGGCACTTTATCTGCATTGCTTCTCCCCACCCAGGAGTATAAATGGGTACCTGGTGGGGTTACTTGCTCCTGCGCTGATTACCAGCAGCAACACTTAGCATGTGGACCCAATGACCAGGGAAAAAGAACTTCAGCGCTTCATAACTGAAAAGAAAGGCACTATACAAGTAACAAATAACTGGCTTTTTTAAAGTAAAATTAAGTACATTTTTATGCAAAAAGATAATAATTCCTGGAATTTGGTTTGGAAATTGTTCTATTATAGCTAAAATAAACAACAGTAACCAAAATACAGATTTTTTCCCCCAAAAATGGATAATTTAGCATAAAAGCGGCTATTTTGGGTCGTTAGATGAAAGAATTTTGCTTGGGATCCACCAGATTCGTAATCAGCAAAATCAAAATAACCTAAATCCCAATTTAATTGTTATAGAGGACGATTTTTGAGAAATGGAACCGGTCTAAACTTATCGTTTGGGATAGGGTCAGTTCAACCTTATCTAATATGAAAGGTGCTATACAAGTAACAAATAACTGGCTTTTTTAAAGTAAAATTAAGTACATTTTTATGCAAAAAGATGATAATTCCTGGAATTTTGTTTGGAAATTGTTCTATTATAGCTAAAATAAACAACAGTAACCAAAATACAGAGTTTTTTCCCCCCCAAAATGGATAATTAAGCATAAAAGCGGCCATTTTGGGTCGTTAGATGAAAGAATTTTGCTTGGATCAACCAGATTCGTAATCAGCAAAATCAAAATAACCTAAATCCCAATTTAATTGTTATAGAGGACGATTTTTGAGAAATTGAACCGGTCTAAACTTATTGTTTGGGATAGGGTCAGTTCAACCTTAACTAATATGAAAGGCGCTATACAAGTAACAAATAAATAAGTAAAATTAACCTTATAAATATAAATTGTAATATAAATTAGGTATTAACCGAGTTAAAAGAACTACATACACAAATAGATGGTTTTTTTTAACCTGCTAATTTGCTTCATTTTATGCAGCAGTTTTTTCTTTCCCCAATAACAGTTTGTTTGTTTGTTGTTTGACTTATATTTTATGCAGCAAACATTAGTTTTTCACATTTTGTTTTGCAATGGACTTATTAATTGATGTATTGGCATATTCTTTCCCTACCCAATAACGGTTTGTGTTATTCCCTCTGCAACAGACTTAATATACGTAGTAATAAATTTTATGCAGCAAACATGAGTTTTCCACATTTTGTTTTTGCAATGGACTTATTAATTGAAATTAATTTATTGGCATAGATGCATATTTTCTCTTTCCAATAACATGTGTTATTCCCTCTGCAACAGACATAATATACATAATAATAATATATTGTATTATATTATTTCAGTGAACTCGTCCTGTTCGGCTCAATGGCTACAATGTTGCTGAATGATGACTTATTCTGGAAACTGATTGTTAATTGCACGATTTAGTATTTGAAATAAATATTCATTGTATATTTTAATAAATATTATAGTATTAATAAGTACTCATTGTATATATTTAATAAATATTGGAAAAAAAGAGAAAAAACTCCTCCTACACATATATACTAACAGACTTTTACCAAAACTGTCTTCGTCTTCTTGTGTATTGCAGTGTCCTCAAATAGCAGGATGCGCAAAAAAAAAAAAAAGCGCCCTCGTATAGAAAAAGGCCCAAAATATGACTAAGTTTTTTGGCAACTTTAGTCTGTGGAGTTCTGGTAAAAATAGTGAAGAAAAGCGCCCTCAAACAGCCCTTTTACCCTAAATTCTTTAGGGTCTCTTAATTGTCAATGGGGGGAAAGCTCCCTCTAAAATCATTTTTTCCAGAACTCCACAATTGTCAAACTTACTAAACTGGCAATTGAGGGGCACTGAAAAACTGGCTTTTAGAGGGCGCATTTTACCATACTTTTAATAGAATTGACAATTAGAGACCCTGAAAAACTTAGAAATAAATTGGCTATAGAGGGCGCTTTCCAGCACCACAGGGAACCCTTTAAAACAGATATTTAGAGACCCTGGCAATTTTGTGTTTCTATTAGAGGGCACTCTTCAGCACCACTTTAATACAAATTGAGGGAAAATGGGAAAATTGGTCCTTTTTCTTTTAGAGGGCGCTTCTTTCGTCTTGCCAGCTTCAGACACGACCAGCAAAGAAACACGTCAACACATTACTTATATTTTTTATTATAAAATCTTCACAACCAAAATCATAATATGAATTGATATAATATGAATTTATATAAATATACAAAAAATTAATTATAGGAAATTGTTTCTCTTGGTTTAATATTTTACAATGATGCATGCTGTCTTGATTCTGCAATAAACTTGTCATTAAAAATGATTTCTTAAATTCCTCGATATTCTGAGAAAAATACAATCGCATGTTTTCTTTCACCGTGATTAAGCTGTCTCAATATTCAGTAAAATGTTGTGTTTTTTTCTTCTCTAATTATCTTGCAAACTATTAGGCATCACCAATTAAATTAACTAAAAGTTAAAATGCTTTACACTGCATATATTAGAATAATGAATTATAGCAGTTCTGGGTACTCTTCCTCGTCTTGTTGCAATTCGCTAGTTCATATCTTCTGTATAATAATAATATAGTCAATATTTCAGAATGACACAAGTTGTCTTGATCCAGTAACATGTTAAGATACAAATCATTGTGTTGTTTCACCGCGATTACTCTTTCGAATTATGCAAGATGTTCCAACTAAAATTCAGTGTACTTTTCCTGTCTTGTAACATTGGTCATGCTCTGTTGCTGCATCTGCCAAAAATAAAATTTAATAAAGAATGAGTAACAGCAGATAAAGAGAAACAATTTTTAAAAGTTGAATGTATGAAGAAAGAAGATCAGACTAATTATGATTTCATAATGTAACTTCATTATATTTCACTCGGTACTTACAGTGCCATTGATTCTTTGATACAATGTCTTGCAGTAAAGATTTGTCTGTCCTCTGCAAACAAAAGAAAGCCAATTAAATACCTGCCAAATAAATTAATTGAAGAAAGCAACAGAAAGCAGGCTAAGACAAGGACCGAACACGAGGATACTACAAGAGGAGCAGGAGAGGGAAAATAAAATAAGACCAGGAAAAATAAAAATGTTAAGACACCTGGAAAAAGGCGGAGAATGACGAACAGTCGATAAAGCGAGACAAACACTAATGAGTTGATATAATTTCAGATAGTATAGGTAGACAAGAGGGTGTATCTATTTTATAGTTATATATATATATAAGATGTATATATATACATACATGAATATATATACATACATACATGAATATATATATACATACATACATGAATATATATATATATACATACATACATGAATATATATATATATATAATTTAATATTTTAAAGTTTCGTTAGATTAAAAAAAACTATAAAAATCAACTTGATTTATGAATTTATGAATAGACTCCCGCCCATTCTGTCACCCATTTGCAAGCTAACACTAATGTGTTTCAAAATTCATACCAAGGACCCAAACCGTGATGTTAATTATATAACAATGGCTGCTAATAGCTTCAGATCTTAAAATCTTTGTTACTGCATTTAGTACGAATCCATTATTAAAATTGAATTTGAGGGCGTTTTAAAACATACCAAATACAGCTAACGAGAACCGCGGGCGTACATGCTTTAAAAATATCTATTTTAGTACTGCTATTTTAACATATCACGTAGGCCTATAAAAAATTAATTTCTTTTCTCAATTTAATAATTTGTATGTTGCAAAATTAGAAAGTTAATTTAAAAATTATTTTATGTAGTTCCGTCACTTTCAAGGGACAGTACATCTTTAAGCCAAACAACGATGATTTCTTTTGATGCAGGTTTTAAGTCATCTGCCAGTAACAAAAAAAAAATTATAAAGTGATGTTTATAGGCAACCAAATGATTGGCATTATTAAAAGATTTTTCCGCTTTACAAGTCAATAATAAGACCAATCTTAGAATATGGATCGGTTGTTTCCCCCGTTTTGTGCTATTCACTTATTTATTCTGAAACTGTTTTGGCCCCTGGTTAGCAAAATAATATAATAACAATTTGTTCACGATTTCAACATTACTAATTTTCCTTATGGCCTTTTAGCTCTATCACATTAAGTTTATACATTTTGACTTTGGTGGACATAACATCATTGTGATTTCTATATTGTTATTTTAGCAATAAATTCATTTGTATTCACTAATGCATAATAGCTGGTAGAGTTCACCATTCATATTTAAGATAATGCATTTCACTTTTGACGTTTTCTGCAATGTGAGGTAGCTCACATAGTTGCATACACAAACTTCAACGTTCAATTCAATAAATTCAATTAACTCACGTATCATGAGTGTTTATACAATTGCTGATATCAACCATACAGGAACAGTACCTCATATTCATTAGTCTCGGCTGCTAATGTTACTTCGCACATTTTAAGCCCCATGTCCCCCGGCTGGCGCCGCCACTGAACCTTGGATATAACTATATATATACTTTTGCCTACCTTTATTGATAGCGAATCCGTTCGTTAGTAATGAAATATAATAACTGAATCATCTTAAAATAATATGTCACTTTTGACATTTACCCCTTATCAAAAACAATGTATGATTATGATTATTTTCTTTTCTACAATACCACCGTAATTACAAGCCAGTCCGCACATACCCTTGATTGCTTCTATTCGAAACCTGCTAATGCATATATCGCATTATTCTTCCGTTCGCCAATTTTGCTTTTTGCATAAAAACTAGAGGCTGATTGTCTGTTTCTAAGGTAAACTCTCGACCATATAAGTGCGGTTCAAACTTACGTACGCTGTTATTGAAAAAGACACTCTTTTCCATAACAGAGTAGGTCTTCTCTCGAAGCAGCAACTTCATGCTGGCGTAGGCAACAGGAAACTTTTTAGTTCCGTAATTCTTAAGTAGAACGACTCCAATTCCGCCTTCGCTGGCTGTCCTTAAAAACAAATGATTTTACTAAAGTCTGGGAGACGAAGAATACGAGAACTTGTTAATGTTAACTTAGCCTTGAGCATGATAAAAGCATTCTCTTGACTTACCTGCCAACATATTTTGTTTAGTTCTTTGTTTTTAGATTTTGTCAGTCAAAGGTAAAACAATTACAGAGTAATTAGGAATGAACCTTCTATAATTATTGGTCATTCCCAGGAAATATACGAGTTGCTTTTTCGTTTCCGGCCGTTTTGCATTCAGGATAATTTGTATTTTCTCTGGTCGAGGTTGAAGCTTGCCCTTTCCTTCAAAACATGCCCTAGAAATTTGATTGTTTTATACCATAAAACACTTGTTGGGATGTGCTGTCATTTTTGCCACTCGTAATCGTCGAAACAATTCTTTTAGTACTACTTTATGCTGTTCCTAAGAAGCAGTGTGAATAGGAACCTGCCAGTAATCTTTACTGAGATCTATTTTTGTAAATCTTTGGCAATTTCCTGAACAATTCCTCCTGATCTGGTATTGGTTCGGCATCAAATATTGTACCTTGGTTAATTTTTCGGAAATCGACACAGAATCTATTAGATCCATCAGGCTTTTAAACCAAAACTATACTAGGGGATGCATACAGGGCACAAAAAGGTTCGTTTACTCTCATATTCAACATCATAGTCACTTCGTCTTTTACTGTATCTCTGAGTGCGTGAGGTAGTGGATACGGTTTAGTACGGATCATCGGTTTTCAGGTTGATTTCATATGTCCTAATGTAGTTTTCCCCCGGTAAATCCTTTTTTTAAACAGTTGTTTTACATATGCTCTGCAAGACTAATCAAGATCATTGCTAATATGAACATCTGTTTGATTTCTTTTGCTAGAAGAGGATGAAGCTGCAAAAGTTTTTCATTGGACAGGTGATAATTCTGATAATTTTCATACTACACACATTCGAGCCGACCAAATCCAAGACACAATCTGTGGATTCAAATAAACCATCATATATCGCTGCACCTACGTCTTTAATATAACTTCAAGAGGTTGTCATGAATAATATTTTACTTACCATTATTATCAATACCGTACTTTAGATTTCCAACCTTTGTTACTATTGGAAACGGTCCTTTCCATGGAAACAAGAACTTATTGCTATACGTTGGTAACAACAAGAGGAACTTATCACCTACTTCAAATTTACGTAGCCTACTTTTCTTATTGTAGTGGTGCTTCTGTGCAACTTGGCATGTTTCATTCAATGGTTCTTTCAGATCTAGGACATACTGGTATGGGGTTTTTGTTTATGGGGTATCCATTTCTCCTGTCCATCTCCCAATGGTCCACAGACCTTACGCACGTTAAGAAGGTCAAAAGAAGAGAACCCAATACTTTCCTGTGGAGACTTTCTAAACGGCAAAAGGAGAGATCAAGGTATTTATCCCAATCTGTCGGGCGCTCAGCACACATATGTTTAAGCATTTGTTTTAATTTCCCATTAAACCTTTTATAGTCCATTACAGGCTGGGTGGTAGGGTAAAGTCATTTATTTAATGGTAAAAAGTCTGCTTACCTGATTCTTTACCTCCGATGTAAATTGTAATCCCTGGTCCGTTATTAGTAATTTTTTTAGTCTACTGTTTGTACACTTTTAAAAAGTTCATAATGTTGAAACCCCTTAGTGAATTGCTAAAAGCTGCGCTTGTTTTTTTTTTCTTCTTTCACTGTGCATGTTTTGCAATGCAACCTGTACTTTGAGGCATAATAAATGAAATTAAATTAAATTGCACTTAAATTGCACATACTGGGGATTGTTGTTCCGTCAAAGTCTTTTCAGGATCTTCCAGAGGTCTCACACCTTCAATATTTAATATCAATAATGGATTGGGCGTTTTATGCAAAAGGGCTTGCCAAATATGGCCCGAAAAGAATGGAGTACTGACTTCTATTTCAGCAACAGAAAGGTTTTTAACAGTACCGTCAATTAAAACACAAGTTTTTATCTTACCAGTCAGTTGTCCAGGTAACACAAACTCTTTCTTCACCACCATACCAGTTTAACCACTGTCACGGAGAACAGAAACTTGTTGCGAACCAACAATACCTGTGGAAACTGACATTCTGTATAGTGCTCGTTCACAATTATGAATATTTTCATAAGTTTACAAACATTACTCTTTTCGGTACCCCTCCCTCCCCTCTGAAAGTGTACAATAAGATGAAGTCAACTACAGTAATGCAGTTGGTTGCTTAAAAATGAATATTATATCCATAGTTACATTATAATTTTACCAGTATTTTGCATATTGCATGTTATTTTAAATCATTCAAAACATTTTTATGCATATAAGAAAAAATCGTACCTCCTGCCCCTTGCCTACTGTTTGTACTCTTTTGAAAATGTTCATAATGTTGAAACCCCTTAGTGAATTGCTACAAGCTGCGCTCATAATAGGAAATGTCGACATTTATGCGTTACCTGACTAACCTCTTCATCGATGCAGCAGTCTTAAATAACGCTACCCTTACAACCATGCAAGACCTTCATATTTATCCACTTCGGGAACTTCGTTACTACCTTCTTCCAGGAGAGTAGATTTCGGTTGACAATGTTGACAAGTCTTGGCATAAGATAAGCCTGCACTATTTGCCTGTGTCCTGCCTGAAGATTTTGGCCATGTGTCCAACTCTTTGACCTATAACACTTAGGGGGAATGTTGGTTTTAGTCAATGCCGAAAATCAAACAATTTCTACTCGATGACATAAATAAAAAGTTACAGGAGTGCGTTTGCTTACCATTTGAGAAGGGAATGGAGCTCTCATAGTCGGGTTTACTGGTCTTGGGGTTGTTCCCGTAACAAAAGGTCTTTCAGCCCGTCATCTTTTGTCTGCATCTGCTAATTCTATCCATCTATTTAAATAATTTTAAAACCTTGCCTCAAATTGATGCCCACTTTCTCTAGATTCAGGTCTTGCAACACGCAGCTTGTGTCAAACCTCATCAGCTGTCAACTGGAACGCTTCAATAGAGCAGTTTTAAGTAATCTGTAATCGTTTGCTTCGGCGGTAGAAAACCTACAATAAAGGGATTTCTGTGGCATAACTTTCTTATCATGAATAAGAATGCAGATCATTCTTACCTTCATTAAATGCTGGTAACTTCGGATGATCCAGTGTCGGAAGCAGGTAATATTCTGCCTGATTTGGGTTTTATTTTTTCCTGCTCTAATTGTATTTCCAATCTACGCATTTCTAGTTGAACATTTGCTTCTTGTTCCTATTTTTCACTTCATTCCCTTTTCTCTAATTCTTCTTTTTTTTCTTCTTTTTTTTTCTCTTCCTCTTTTCTGCTTTCTCATTCCTCTCATTTTCCCGTCTTCTCTTTCCAAAAAACTCCCTCCAATCAACTCCACTCAACCTAAAGTTTTGCCTGCTTCTACAAACTTTTTTTATCCATACTTACAGATCCGTGAAACATCACCTACAAATACCAAAACCTAAAATATCTTTAATTTATTAGGCCTAATATTAAGCGAATTTCGATTAATCGATGTTCTTGTAAAATATTCCGCTCGGTTATTTCCCGGACGAGTCCCCCAGCCTCTCTGAAGCTTTCTGCCAAAGGTCCGAACATAACTTACAAGAGACACAATAGATCACAATACAAGTAATGATCAAAATATTTACTGATTTAATTCCCATAAAGTGCACCCACCAATCTAGCGTTGGGGAATCAAGTTTGCATGCATATCATTCAAAAACCCCATTCTAAGTTTTCTATCTAAAAAGGTACCATGCTTTATTACCTCAAATTCAAAACATAAGCAAAATATCAAGAATGCATCTATAATTTAACACCACGTTTTTCACTTACCACTGCCTCATTTTCTAGACTAAGAAAATAGAATTAAGAATCATTTCATTAATATCACTTATTCTTTATCACAGTTTTATATTTGTAGCTATAAAAAAACACACACTATTCTATCACATCAATTATTCATGCTTTAACTATATCAATTACCGTTTGCTTACCATTTGAGAAGGGAATGGAGCTCTCATAGTCAGGTTTACTGGTCTTGGGGTTGTTCCCGTAACAAAAGGTCTTTCAGCCCGTCATCTTTTGTCTGCATCTGCTAATTCTATCCATCTATTGAAATAATTTTAAAACCTTGCCTCAAATTGATGCCCACTTTCTCTAGATTCAGGTCTTGCAACACGCAGCTTGTGTCAAAACTCATCAGCTGTCAACTGGAACGCTTCAATAGAGCAGTTTTAAGTAATCTGTAATCGTTTGCTTCGGCGGTAGAAAACCTACAATAAAGGGATTTCTGTGGCATAACTTTCTTATCATGAATAAGAATCCAGATCATTCTTACCTTCATTAAATGCTGGTAACTTCGGATGATCCAGTGTCGGAAGCGGGTAATATTCTGTCTGATTTGGGTTTTATTTTTTCCTGCTCTAATTGTATTTCCAATCTACGCATTTCTAGTTGAACATTTGCTTCTTGTTCCTATTTTTCACTTCATTCCCTTTTCTCTAATTCTTCTTTTTTTTTCTTCTTTTTTTTTCTCTTCCTCTTTTCTGCTTTCTCATTCCTCTCATTTTCCCGTCTTCTCTTTCCAAAAAACTCCCTCCAATCAACTCCACTCAACCTAAAGTTTTGCCTGCTTCTACAAACTTTTTTTATCCATACTTACAGATCCGTGAAACATCACCTACAAATACCAAAACCTAAAATATCTTTAATTTATTAGGCCTAATATTAAGCGAATTTCGATTAATCGATGTTCTTGTAAAATATTCCGCTCGGTTATTTCCCGGACGAGTCCCCCAGCCTCTCTGAAGCTTTCTGCCAAAGGTCCGAACATAACTTACAAGAGACACAATAGATCACAATACAAGTAATGATCAAAATATTTACTGATTTAATTCCCATAAAGTGCACCCACCAATCTAGCGTTGGGGAATCAAGTTTGCATGCATATCATTCAAAAACCCCATTCTAAGTTTTCTATCTAAAAAGGTACCATGCTTTATTACCTCAAATTCAAAACATAAGCAAAATATCAAGAATGCATCTATAATTTAACACCACGTTTTTCACTTACCACTGCCTCATTTTCTAGACTAAGAAAATAGAATTAAGAATCATTTCATTAATATCACTTATTCTTTATCACAGTTTTATATTTGTAGCTATAAAAAAACACACACTATTCTATCACATCAATTATTCATGCTTTAACTATATCAATTACCGTACTCGCGCGAATAAGCGCCCCGTTTGAATAAGCGCCGCTCTCGAATAACCGCCTCGTGAAAATCTGCTATTTTGCTGTTATGTAAATATTCACGCATTCTTGTTATGAGCCATGTTCTCTGGACGATTATCTTTTCTAACCACCATTCGTAATGTCCATATATAATCTTTTTTTTTCATTCAAAAAGTGCCTCTTGAATTTTTAATTATTAAAATAATTTCCCATAAGAACCCCTCGATTTTCATCTATTTCCACTCTGTTTTCATAAGCGCCCCGTTTAAATAAGCGCCCCGTTTGAATAAGCGCCCCTCAGAAAGTGCAAAAAATATTTTAAGCGCCCGTGCGCTTATTCGCGCGAGTACGGTAACCATTCATGATTTATCATTATACATTGGTCACCATGGAATTACATCAACATTAACGTATTATATCTCAAACATCTTATTTAAAAAAACCATAGTAGTTAATAAATAACAATAGTTTAACAATCAGTGCGGCCATTCCAACATTTCAACGAATATTACGTTACCAAAATATAATAATTTGTTCACGAACATTTTTTCAAACATTACTAATTTTCCTTATGGCCTTTTAGCTTCAAAGTAAGTTTCAATCGTCTCCATTATATAAATACATAATAAATGAAGTAATATACCTTTTGGCCTGGCGACCTATCTTACGATAATTTATTTCATTTCACAATAATATCAGTGTGATTTCTATATTATACTTATTTTAGCAATAAATTAATTTGTATTCACTATTCTTAACAGCTGGTAGAGTTCACCATTCATGTTCAAAATATTGCATTTCACTCTTTTCTTTCTTTCTTTTTCACTTTATTGATAAAACACTCAGAGGTATTACAGATGGTGGCCCAATGGACCAAATTGCTTGTAATATTACAAAAGTTATGGGCAAGAAAGCGGCAAAAACATTAAAATATTAAAAAAAATAAGATACAAGAAATACATATAAAAAAATAAATTGAAAAAATAATAAAAAAATAACTATATATATATATATATATATAGAAAACAAATTATTATTTTATTACTATAATTATATTATTATAATTACTCTTTGACGTTCTCTGGAACGTGAGGTAGCTCATCTATGTTCTCAACTGCAACTCCTCAAAGTTGCATACACAGACTTCAACGTTCAATTCAATAAATTAATTTGACTCGCGTATCAGGAGTGTGTATAAGACTAATTATTTCCACCATACAGGTACGGTACCTCATATCAATATAGCCTCGACTGCAATGTAACTTCGCACCATTTTAGTACGGTAGATCACAAAGTTGCATTCTCACTATGCTATTTTCACTATGTAGGTATTTAACTGGCAGTCTTAAATGCTTGTGCTTTGCCTATCCTCAAAATTCAACACTCAAAAATAACATATATAGCGGCATTTGATATATGTAGGCAGTATGTGCACAGTTCTGTATTATCAAGGTTTTGGACATAGTCCTCTCTTTTGCACACCCCAAAACCAAGTCCCTCCTCCATCACACCCAATTTTACGTCTCACGAACTATCTCTTTATTCATAGCTCTCCACCAATTAACACAATTTTGTATTTGTATTCTAGTTTGTTTAAAAGAAAAATTAAAGAAATAAATTTGAATCCTCAGTGTGCCCTTTTCCTAAATAAATATGCAAAAGTGGTGAGAAAATGTTAAATATTGGTAGAACAAAAGATGAGAGACAGGTGAAAAAAAATTTTTTTTTAAGCAAGCAATAAACACGTGAAACAAGAAAAAAAGTAATGGCACTAGATTCCGAAAATGGCATTCCAAAACTGCAAAAAAAAAATTAATTAAAAAACGGGACGGATCCAGGACTTTTCCTTAGAGCTCAATATATATATATATATTTTAATTCCTATCAGGTAAAAATTTTAGGTACTTCTTAATGTCGTCGAATCTAAAGCATAATAGTCGTTGCATTTTAGGTACATTGCATCTGGCTTTTATCACAATAGTCAATAAGTTAATGTACCATTGATTATTCTGAGTTTTGTATGGAGGGGTAATAAATCGTGTATTGCTTTAATATTATTTTATCCAACAAACATTTGCAAGCAAGGGCACAATTACATGACGAATACTACATGTATGCAAAAATCATAACCAGCAGGTGTTTGAAAATTCATGTTTGCTTGCTTACAATCTTTCAACAAATTGTATAACATCACCGACGTACGTGAAGACGAGCATCCAGGCCATTTCAAAGGTTAGTATTGCTTTAGAGCATAGCAGCCAAAAATAAGAAACAGGGAAATTAATCAAAATGCATAAGCTACTACCTCAAAATTTAAACCATAAATATTTATAAAAAAAAAACATTTCATTTGTTTATTGTATCTTTTATTTAGCAACTACCCGCAGTCATGATTACGCAGATTAGTGTATGGTAATGCATTATTATAGAGTATAATCTATTTTCATACTAAATACATATTCTAATTAAAGAAACTACCTCGAAATAAAAATAGAATCAGAGGCAAATATGAGAAGAAGCAGACATGACGAAATTAAAGACTGAGGACAAATTGGATGAAGAAATATAGGTAACTGAACTGAACACACAAAAAAATAAATAGGCCTAAGGACCGAAAAAAGACAAAGGCAAGAAAATAAGATTACAAAAACAAAGTGGTTGCATCTACCCCGATTTTATGTCGTGCTGTAGTACATTAAGATAGACAGAGTTATGTTTTAAGGATAGGGCAAAGCCAAGTCGACCAATCAGCGTGTTAGGGTTTGCATAATTCGGCGTAGACATAGCCACTACGTTACAAAAATGTATTGTTGAAAAAAGTGTGATTGTTGAATGAAATTGGCTTATTTTTTTTCCAAAGGCGTACACTATTTTCTTTGCATATTTAAGACCAGTTAAATTCAGATCCAAGAAATCATATATTTCATAAATTACTATCTTGATGTCTTTAATGAGTACTCTAAATTGTAACTTGTTTGATAAAGTATCGTTTTAAGTACTTTACCAACCATGTTAATTTAGGCCTATAATTTCCAAAGACGTACACTATTTTCTTTGCATAATAAGACCGATCAAATTCAGATACAAGAAATCATATATTTCATAAAATAATATCTTGATGTCTTTAATGATAGTGCTTTAATTGTAACTTGTTTGATGAAGTTTTATCGTTTTAAGTGCTTTACCAAACATCTTAATGTAGGCCTAATTTATAAATAAGATTGACTTTTATTTTTCAATATTGGTCTTGAGGTCCAGTTAAAATAACCTTATTAAAGAAATTCACTAAAGCCATGAACATATACAATTATCTAATAAATAGGGTAGCAGTGCGTTGGTTCAGCAGGTTCACTGAACCTGGGCCCCGACCTTCAGGCGCCCCGTCCCCTTATATAAAATCTAATAATAAAGCAATGCATTAGTAAAAATCTGATTGATAGTATTTATCCCTATATAATACTGCATAATAATAATTTAAAATTCTTAAAAATTGTCACTTAAACATGTCTAGGCCCTATGCCTATAATAAAAATTGTCACTCGAACAGTGGAGGGATACACAGTGAAAGAGAGATGGCAATACAATTAGTGCAACAATATTCAAAGTACGTGTTTGAGCTAGGAATATCCATGTTGATCAAAATCATTTCAATTTCGTTATATTAACGAGAAGGTGGGGGATGTCCTATAGCATAGATTGCAACTGTGAGGATACTCACAGACGACTAGCCGTGTTAATATAGTGATTAATAGCGATACGAAAGAGATGTTTATCAGTTATTGTTATTATACCTGGTCGATATTGTATACAAATAGGCCTATGTAAATATGTATATATATACTATATATAGACCTATATACATTAAACAAATCTGCTCTATTTTTCTAAATCAAATTTTTAAGAATCTTTTGAATTCTGTATTTTTCGGTTTATTTTTGAGCAACTCAATCATATCTGTTTTTTGCGGAATGTCCCTCTTTGTCCCCCTTGCATATCTTGTAATATGGACGTGTTAAGGGCTTCCCCCTGTTCCTTTATCGATTCGTTTTTCTTGATGCGATGTTTTTCTTCATTTTTCAATTCTGTATGTTCTGTATGTTGCATTTTTTTAAAGTGATAAAAAAAACAATATATATATTAGGCCTATTTTGTGAAGGTTTTGATTGCTGCATTTCTGCTTTCATTTTTACTTATTTTATTAAGTTTTTCCAATTATCCAAACCTCCGATAAACTTCAATCCTGAAAGTGGGTCGTTAATTGGATATATATATAGAGATTTCGCGATATAGCGTGAGGCAAGTTTATAGCCTAGTATCGAAATTATGAACATCAAGGTTACTATTTTTAGATAAGCATGCCAAATTTATTTTTTCAATATCGCCAGTTACAAGTGTCGCAAAACTTAGTGTGTGAATACAATTCTGGGTTTTCCATTCTGTTGTGTCTTTAATTGCGTTTGAAATATCTGTTCTTATAATTACTAAAATAATCGCTAAAATTTTCACATTCAAGATTTGGATGAATATTGTTTGAATTTTTGTTTATTCTTTCATCCTACAAACGTTTGGGATCGTGTTTATATTAGTTTGCAACTGCTAAAGAATAATCTGATTTGAATTTTCAAATTTTACTCGTTCATTTGTTTCTAATTGAACGAGTGGCAAAGACAACCCAAACAAGTCACACGTCGAAAAACAATTTTTAACGATTTGGTGACGGTTTCTGCATGCGAAATGCCCAAAATCATAAACTTTGAAGGCTGATTTCTCAAATATTGTTTTATAAATAGTTGTATGTCTAAACTCCTGTAACTTCATAACGAAATGTCAGATTCTAATGATCCTTTTACCATTTTATAGGTCTCATTTTACTGTTTAACATTGTATTAATAACTAAAAATTGATTTTGCGACAAGTGACTGGTTTGGCTTGTCTTTGACACGATCATCATTAAATGGTGTTCACCGGTTAAGTGTTTAACATAATCAGTCGTACATAATCTATGGAATCAGGTGTGATCCATTTCATTATATTTAGCTTAAGTAAATAAAATTAATATACAAGATAATTGTCAGGCCCGTAACCATTTGCTAGCTGGCTCCGCTTGGATGGCAAAAAAAAATCTCGAAAGAAGATTGCTTAAACTTAAAAAAATAAAAATTTAAAAAAAATAAAATAAAATAATCCTGTTCAAATAATCTTTATAGACAGTAGCAACTTTTAATACACGTTTCAAGATTTGAAACTTTTCCAAATTTGAATCCCCCCCCCAAAAAAAAATCCTAGTTACGGGCCTGATTGTTGACATTGTTCATTGGTTAATCTGATAAGAAAATAACATCAATTCAATAAATTTTGCCAATGTGCTTTTTCTTTTGATCATGAAAAGTAGAAATGCTTATTATTATGGTCAGTCCAACAAACAGCCGTCTCTCTCAGATGCCCTCTGAGAACATATAAAAATTAAAAATTAAAAAAAATCCAAAGATTTATTGTCAAAATATTATAAAAATCGGAAGGACACCTGCTTAAAAAACCAATCCATCGGTGGTACACATCTTATAGTCAATTTGCATGCGCAAAGGGCCCCGACTATAATCATATAGGCCTACTCTTGAACCAGGGCCCCTAACAACCTATTTACGCCACTGATGGGCCATGCCATTCCATCCATCCAAACCAGCATTCATTGACCGAGAAAGAATTTATTCTCACATTACAAGTTTGTTAATGATGGGTCATTTATTGGAATCGACTTACTAATGCCAAAGTTATGTGTAAAAGAATTAGTATTCTCTGCACTTTTCTGCCACATTCTTATGCTTATTTCTCAGACTAAAATAGCAACAGTAGGCCTACGCTGGTTTTGGGATGGCATATGCCTCAAATATATCTAATTGCAATAACTAACTAAAAAGTATGAAATACAAATCAGTAGGTAAAACAACTTTAGGAATCATGATTGAAAAAAAATTTAAAATGCGAGAGAATGAATGTTACTCCTACTCAAGTATCTGAAAATACCAATAATTAAATTTCAGTTTTTCTAACTTAACTTTTTGCCTCATTTTAAAAAACAAGGAAATGAACAGGAGGACACTCATCTCGGAACATCAAAGCTTGTCTCTCAGTTGCCATAAGAATCACGCGGTGTGTTTTTATATAAGGCGATGCTTTTGTACTTTAGTAAAGGCCGAGATATTCATTATTCTTTACCGGCCGATGAGGTGGTGCACCGTATTTATTAACCTTCATAAAAAAAAAAACATAATAAGCTGTCTGTATCTAAACAAAATGTATGCATTGAAGGAAGTGAATTTTCGTGCATCTATAGGTGTCATTAAAAGGCTTGGAGGTTTTGATTGGCCCAGTGGGATCTATAGGGGATGTGTTCCCCACCAAAAATATATTCGCTCCCCCCCCCCCCCCCCCCCCCCCCCCGGCCCATATTGAAAAATGTTCGAAACAAAAAAATCACACTCAAGTACTTCACTCAAATCACCTACCTGAAATCACCTAATTTTGCAAGTTAGCCCCCTCCCCCACCTGATCATCAAGCACCCACTTGACCGATTCCAATTATTTCCTCATTTTAAGATTCCTAAATACACCACTGGTCTGGTCCTCATATATTAGTAGATAATAAATGTTATATCTAAGGTGACCTAGGAAAGAAATTATTGAAAAACAGTGCTTTAATCACAACAACTATTCTTGTAATAATTGCATAGCAAGCTCAGTCCGAGTTTACTTAGATCCCAACATGCATTGTTTGGCGTAACGGGCATTTGAAAAAAACATTAAAGTTACAAATATTGATTATGGCACTTACCTCAGTAGTTTTGTTGATATATACATCACTGAAATACACTATAATACAGCAAATTACGGAGTACATTCTAGAATACATCCTATCGGCCACATCCCCCATTCTGAGTTCACGCGGTTCTTTTTACATTTCTTGGAAAAGACATACTACACAGGTGGTGGTCCAGAAAATTAAGTGAAAATGGCCAAAAGAACGCTGAAGCAAGTAGGCCTACCTGTGTTATAAGATATGAACATGCTTTTGTCAATTGTACTTCACATTGAAGCGTACAAATATAAAAAAGAATACCTTAAAAACACATTTAAAGTCTTATCGAAAGTGTAGTTACACCATACTATGCACGCTACATGAAAACTTGACTCGTCTTGGGTAATGGTACTTAAAATCTCAAAATATTGCAAGTTACACGTTTATACCTACCTTAGTAGTTTTGTTGATACGTACGAATATACACTTAGGCCTATAATAATCATAAACAAAATATGGTTGGTTTTTTTATTTCTAAAAAACACCTTGTCCACCATTTTCGTCGTCACGTCAATTCATGTCACGCGGTTCTCTGGAATTTCAAAATTCACGCTCTGCTACACAGGTGGTTATAAGTTCAGGATATTAGGTGAAAATGGCCACAGGAACACTGAATTTAAATATCACGTACAATGGTGTACTTCAATATAAGATAATACTGTATCATCTTATATATAAACAGATTGGAAATATGCTTTCCCACTTGCGCCTGCAAGTATATAAAAGTAGGTCTATTATACGAAATTGGATTTAAAAAAACTTCAATAAAATAATAATTAGTAAACTATTTAAAAGATATTGTATTGTATTGCTGTATAAAAAAATAAGTGAAAGTCCCCAAAATTAAAACACTGTTTAATTAATATACTTCCTTAAATTGTTATGACTTCTTATTAAGGAAAACCCTTTCGGTACCAAATTTCTCAGAATAGGGGTGTCCATGCTCAGTGGATGGGATTAATATACCGATCCACTAATTAAACAAGAGGAACCGGTGGAGAGAGGAGGTATTAACGACTATGCAATAACATTTCTTAGTAATCCAGACGCATCATTAATAGGTATGCAGTTTAATATTAATTTTCGGTAGGCCTATCATTATTTTGCTGGCGTCATACCCCATAGGAGCATTGGTCCTTCACCGATTGGAAATCCCGGATGAGAGATAGACGCATTCACATTTATTTAGACCGCAGATATGAGTGGTCAATTTTTTTTAAATCAAAATCTAAGTTTGTATTATCATATTGTCATATTGTGATTGATAACTTTTTTTAACTAAAACAAATAACGATTTTATTTTATAATTTTAACAAAAAGTACCGTACGTTCCTTTCATGTTGATATGAAGGTGACGTCTCAAAGGGTATTAAGACTTACCGGTACTTTTCGGTAAACAAATAATTTAAGGCAAACGTTTTATTTATAAAACAATATTTTTTTCCGTACTTTTCTGTACTTGTACCTTGTATTAACATAACGTATCATCATACGCACCAAATCGTCGATAATGTTAATAATTTTCATAAGATATATATTCAAATGGATTTTTTATTTATTTATTTTTTTTTGGTAACGTGGTAGTTTCAAGATACCATTTTGGGTTTAAATAGTTTAAAATTTGCCATTTTTGAGGGAGATAAACTTTGACATACTATAACTCCAAAATAAAAATGAATGTCAGAAATTGTTATAAGTGTTTGTATGTGGTCAGTTTTTGAGAAAGTATCAGACGAAAGGTTATAAAGCTTAGTAGCTTTCGTATATTTATTTATTAAAACGTATTATCAAATTTAGCCAAAAGAGCAATAAAAAAGGTTGGTAATTTTTGGGTCAAACAATTAACATATGGCAGCATACATCACTTGATAGATAATTTCAATAGCTTTCGTGTGATATTAAGTATAATTCAAATTGTATCTTTTCAGTGGCGGCGACAGCGTCTGAAATCTTGGGGCGGGGGAATGAGAGGCAAGGTACGATTTTTTTTGGGCGGGGGGGGGGCGGTGGAAATGTCTCAGACGAGAGCAAAGTGGGCGTGGTCTGGTGTCGATCAACATGTTTCGAAAGTGGTTCAGCGAGCGGATCCCTAAAAAATATGACAATTTAGGGGTTTCGAAGGCTTATTTAATCGATTTTATTTATATTATAATCTACTAATATGCTATGCAGGTAGAAAATACATATATTTTTGTTCACCCCGACGAATTGTTGTTTTTCTTCTTTTCTTCCATCCCCATACTAGATTCAAAATAACACTTTGGGGTAAAAAGTGTAAAATTTCATTTTTTTTTTCGGGAGATAACCTACGACCTACTTTAACTCCGAAATACAAAATGGATGATGTCTGAAATTTTTAGGTGTCTTATTTTGTATGTGTTCAGTTTTTGAGAAAGTATCCGACAAAAAGGTGGTTAGCTTAGTTTTTTTCGTATTTATTTAATAAAACACATAGTATTAAATTTAGAAAAAAGTCATAAAATATGTTTTTTCGTAGTTTTTGGGGGTCACAAAATTAATCATTCGAAAGATAATTTCTAATAGCAAATATATTCAAATTGAATCTTCCAGTGACGATGTCTAGCTTTAACATACTATTATGGGTAAAAACGCAAAATTTGTATTAATTTTTTGAAATCTAATTTGGCACTTAAATTGAAATTCTGCGTGCCAACAACCCATTCCTTCTTGTGAGCTAAGAGCTGGAGATGAGGATTCACGAGTTTGTCAACTTGTAAAAAATGATGCCCACGAAGAAAAAATATTTGAGCACTTCTTAATTCTTTGGGCACCCGTCTATAAACAGCTGTTAGTCAAGTCAGCAAACACGGCATCCGTTCAGTAGGCCTACTCTTACAATCAATATGGGAATTACATATTAATTATTCTGGTGTAAGTAGGTCTTCATCTAGGTCTATATGGCATGGACGGTTTACAAGAAATACAAAATATAGGTAGTGATCAGTTATGTCACAGTATGGTATACCAGATTTAAATTTTTGATCAAAAGAGTCTTTGTTGTGCCAGCGGGTCTACATATAATGGGAAGTAAATTATATGAAATTAAGATACTAAAATAGCCATATGTTAGTTTGTGAGAGTCAGTTTAAGACATTAAGTGAGAACAGTGACGGATATATGTTTACTATGATTATTGGAGAAGTGTGAAGCTGTAGGAAGCCCGGGTCAAAACTTTAACCTGGCATTATTCTTTATCATTAACAGTTGCAGCAATTGTGTCTCCAGTCCAGAAAAATTTTGAATCTTTCAACGCCTAGATATTTAACCGACTTCTTTCCTAGTATAAAGTGCCCATTGGTTTCAACTCTACTTTCCTCGATCTGTATGAGTCTTCTATTAATGTAGTAACAAACAAAATACATTCGGTTTTTCCTAAGGGAAGAAATAGCATTTTAGGCATTATTACAGCTATTTAAGTTAGAACTTAACTTATCTTAAATTATTGTTGGATCTTTGTGGGCATAGACCAAGGCATACCATCGCCATACAACATGAGTTTACAGTTGGAATCAATCCCAATGGAAATGTCGTTCACGTAAATTAAAAATAATAACGGACAAAATACACTCACTTGATGCACACCACTTTCAATTGGAAGTGGATCAGAAAAAACCCCAATTACATAGACAACTTGACCCTACCATTCAAATAGGACTTAAACCATTGCAAAGAATCCACCCTAATCGCAGCAAGCTCATATACAGAATTCCAAGATTCACGGTATCAAAAGCTTTCTGGAGATCAACTCTGTAATTTACCCTGTGACATTTGAGTTTTAATAACATCAAGCAAATAGTTAAAAAGACATGTGTCAGTAGAATGACCTGACTGGAATTCATAAATACATTTGTTACCTCAAGGTAGTTTACAAGCTCCAGCTATTTCTAGGATTTTCGATAATTGTTAACATCGATTCGGCTGCTCTTTTTATACAGTGGTTTTAAATTGTGACTTTGAAATCGCCAGGAACGATTCCATTACAGATGGAAAGATGGGGTATGCATAATTGGCTTTTGTACCGACGCCCCATCCATAAGTAAACGAGCAGGGATATTACCAGTGCCTGTGCTTTGGGTTGAATTCAACGAAAGCCTCAATGGCCCAATTGGTTAAGGCGTCTGCATAGACAGAAGGTATATATAAAATAACCAATAGCCGTTAACACTGTTAAATATTATATAAATAATCAAATAAAGATAAACAGTGTTAGAATATAGGACATGATGGTACATCGTGTAGCATAGCTCTCAACCAATGTTGACTCCTGTCGGAGGCATTTTATTACTATTTTTAATATTATTATTTCCTCTTAATAGTGGTTGGCCTTAGTGTTCAAAAGATATACTTTTTACGGAAAAGTATAGATATAATAGAGGTGTCCCATTTAAAGGAGGAGTTCAACCTGTATGTG